ATGTCGTCGTGACTCGTGTCCACTTGCGTTATGATTGACACCATTTTGAGAACCACTTCTTCGCAATCAGTTGTCCTCCGAGTCAATGGATCTCAAGATTCAGTGTTTCATTGGTTTGCAAATCAATACAATTGTCGTTCAATTGAACTTCAATTGAATCACTCGTTGACTGCAAAACGTGGAAGTCTTCAGTCTTTCACCGCTATAATAGACTCACACTTTTGTTCAACAAATATATCCATAAATTATGTCTTTTGTCCACAAATTTGTGCCTAATTTTGTACACATCTCTCAATGCATACAAAATAAACGTTCAATTGGTTTAGCGTTCAATTCATGTCTTTTGATTGCAGTATATATTGAAATAGATTTAAGTAATTCATTACAATTAAGCTAATGTTACACCAATATTGTACACATGATCATGTTTTAAATTTTTAAATTAGTTTTCTTGTTTTTGTATGCTTAAAGTAAAGTGAGCATGGTGTTTAGAAACATGAACTATAAAGTTTGCCATGCTAAGTTATTAGAACATTAGAAATTTGAAGTTAGAATAGTTAGATTACCGTTAGTTGTAATCTGATCCCATTATGTATCCATTATTATAAGCTAATATTATGGTATCAATCACATTCATTGTATTCAAAATAGTCAATAGATACAAACTATTTCTAGACTCTAATGTACTCTGATTAGTTAAGTATTTTACCGTAACATTTGTATAACATACTGATAATATTGTTTGTTCACAATTAACATTCATTTTTCCATCATTTGATCACTTATTGAATTAATGGACAAATGAATATGACCAGGTGCAATACTCGTGTTCATGTCATTATAATACGGTTAGACTAAACATTAAGTGCAATATGATAAACTTTGTTAATAATCTTATATTCATATTATATAATAAACATAATATTCTAAATAAAACTTTCTACAGTATATAATTTCAGCATTTTGCATGACATTTACATGAATACCCTTACATTGAATGGAAATATTTTAATACTACTCTTTTTATAAACAAAATATGGTTTTTCTAACAAATATTTCTATTGAACATAAACTAAATTATTTACAATTTATCTGTTTGTTTGTCACA